GGGCCTCCTAGGGGGTGGGGAATGCCATGGATCGGAGCCACTCATCCTTTATACTTAAGTTATAACTCAGGACACCTGGGTGCACATGCACAATTACATTAGACAATAACCAAGGAACACCAGGGCACATGTGCATATTTACATCACGTGCTCTGCAAGATTCTGAACATCTGAGGGGCCCTGACCATTTTCCTATCTTTTCCCAACACCTTATATTCACCTTCAAAAGTTTTGGAGAGAATACTTGTTAGAGTTACCTATTAGTTTGCTGTAACTGCACTGTCCTATATGACAGCCACTAACTACATGTGGCTATTTAATGTAAATTAATTATATTTAAATAAAATTAGTAATGTTAGTCACACTAGTTGTATTCTAGATGTTCTATTGTCATATGTTGCTACTGTATTGGACAAAGCAGATATAGAATATATTCATCATTGAAGAAAGTGCTATTGAACAGTGCTGCTCTGAAATTGAGTCCAGCAAGAGAGCCTGTGGAAGGCATCAGAATAATGGCCACCCAATGATGTCTATGTCCTAGTCCCCAGAACCTGAAAATGCTCCCTTATATGGTAAAAGGGACTTTGCAGATGTCAATAAGTTAAGGAACTTGAGATGGGAAGATTATCTTGGACTTTGTTGTAGGTCCAAATTAATAACAAGTGTTCCTAGAAGAGGAGGGCATAGGGGTCAGAATCAGATAAAAAAGATGTGATGATGGAAACAAAAGTTAGAATGATGCTCTTTGAAGATGGAGGAAGGGTCCCTGAAGAATGCAGGTGGCCTCTAGAAGTTGGAAAAGGCAAGAAAATGGATTCTTACCTAGAGCCTCCAAAAGGAACATAGCACGCCAGTTCAGGCCAGCAGGGATATGTGCAGTTTATTTTGGTAAATGCTTAATAACTTCCTTTTCAGAAAAAACTAAAAAAATTCCCAATTCATAGTATTTGCCAACTCCCATGGTGTATATACACATATCATTCCCAATTTCTACCTACCAAGATAATGTCACTGAACACAGAGCTGGGAAGAGATAGTTTCCGCACATGACTGGATATGTGTGTGTATGTGTGCCCATGTGTGTTTCTAGGCATCATGTGGGTACAAGTGTGGAGTTTCTATTTTGAACAGAAGATCTCTCTCATACTTGTCAGAGCAGAAACCTGAGAGAGGTGAAGGAGCCACCTAGGTAGATAAAGGGGGAAAAAGCATTCTTGGCAGAGAGAATAGTAAGTGCAAACACCTGATGGGTGAGTGTGTTTGGTGTATTTCAGGTGTGTCTGAGGGATTTTACCTTAGTCTGTTTGGGCTTCTATAACAAAGTACCATATATTGGGTGGCTTATTAATGACAGAAAATAATTACTCACAGTTCTGGAGGCTGGGAAGTCTGATATCAGGTTGCCAGCACAGTTGGGTTCTGGTGAGGGCCCTCTTTCTAGTTCATAAATGGTGCCATCTAGCTGTGTCCTCACATGGTGGAAAAGGGAAGGCAACTTTCTGCGGCCGCTTTTATAATGGCATCAATCCTGTTTATGGGGGCTCCACCCTCATGGCCTAATCACTTCTGTTGGGAAAATATAGGAAAAATGGTCAAGGCCACTCAGATGTTCAGAATCTTGCTGAGCATTTGATGTTAATATGCACATGCACCCAGGTGTTCCTTGGCTATTGTCTAATGTAATTGCGCATGTGCACCCAGGTGTCCTGGGTTATGGACTTAAGTATAAGGGTGAGTGGTTCTGATCCGCAGAGCCTCCTATAGCCAAGGATAGTTATCTCCAAACACTTATATAACACTCCATCATTTTTCCTTTAAAACACTTTGTCTTCTTTTACCTCCCTGGACACACTCAGTTTACTATGGCATGCATATTCCCATTGCAATGTTATATTCCCAAGAAAACTCATTTTTTTTTAGAGAGCCTTGCTCTGTTTGTTATTCAGTTTAGCAGCTGGATGAGATATAGGGAATGAGTGTAGATAGAGAAGTAATCTGAGGACTGAATCATGGGATACTCCAAGATTTAGAGATCAAGGAGACAAGGAGGAACCAGAAAAGGAGCCTGGGCAGCCATGAGGAAGAAAATCAAAGGAGAATCATGTTTAACTAAAGAAAATGTTAAAGGAAATAATCATAAAACTCAACAAATACTCCTGGTTGGTCAAAAAAACTGAAACCCGAGAACTAACCATTGAATTTAAAAGTGTTATGTTATTGGTCATGTTGACCAAAACAATTTTGGCAGAAAGATAGGTACAAAAGTCTTATTGCACTGGCTTCGAGAAAGCATGAGAGGAGAGTAATTGGAGACATTGAATCTCGCCAACACTTTCTCATTTTTTCTGTATAAGGGAAACAGCTGAAGGTAGGGTGAAGAGAAGGTTTTCAGAAGATTGGAGATACAGCATGTGTGTGTGCAGATGAAGCAGAAGAGAGATAGAATTGCTAGATAAATGTCCTTAGGAAAGGATAAATGTCCTTAAGAAAGGGGGCTGGGATCTAGAGCACAAGTGGAGTGGTTGGCATCTTGTCCATGGGAGAAGATGGAGAGCGGTGGGTACATGTGGTGGTTAGAGCATGCAGAAAATCTCTCTGAGTTGCTTTGATTTTGTTAATGAAACAATGTCATCAACTCAGCTGAGGGAGGATGGAGTAGGAAGCGTAGGGGTGTGTGAGGAAAATGGAGACAGACTGCTGAGGCTCCTTCACCTCATATCAGGCTGAGCATGACTCAGCCTGTCTGATGTAAATATGTAAACTGTGCATGTGTGCCAAGGTGTTCCTTGGCTATCTGACTCATGCCGATGTGTTCCTTGGTTATCTCACTAGTGTAAAAGACAACAGCTATGATCTGCTCAGGGCTGAACTAGCGTCCTAATAAAGCAGGCCAACCTTGCCAACAGCTCCCAGGATCTTTTCCCAACTATTTAGCTTGTAACCTGCCTATCAGGAGTCTGTGACCCAGTCTGCACAGGAAAAGTTTGAAGGGTCCATGGCCTAGCTCGACAGGAGGTTTGAGGAAAGAAGCAGAGGTATGTCTAGTTATTTAAGAAAATGGATGAATGAATGGCCTTAGGAAATACCAAAAGATTGCAACAGTACTTAGGGCACACTTGAACAGTCATGAATATAAATTGAGAACAGACATAGACCTATGTGTGTGGTTTTCTTAAGGCAATATCAAAGCACAGATACAAACTTAGAATAGATTGAGATTTGAACTTGAGCAGGGTTGGGGTTCTGTCAGGTAAGTATGATGACAAAAGAGTGGCTAAGGAGTTGAGGAGAAATGCAAGGGAGTGTTATAATGATGCACAATTGACTACAGGAAGGAAGATAAGGTGTAGAGTGGGGTTGGGGAGTATGAGTGACAGAAAGATAGTGATCCCAGCAGCATCTAAGAACTGTTGGAGTTGGGCAACTGGAAACAGTGAGTTCAAAAGATAGGAGATGGGGTTGAAGAGAGATGATTGAATTGAGAATATGGAAGAGTAAGGTATTTGGTAACGACAAGGCCTAGTGTTTGACCAGGCATGAGTGGCTCATAAAAAGATCATTGACAGGTGGCCTTAGAAATAGTAGGCCAGATAGTGGAGGGATCACCCATATGAATATTGAGATCACAATAGTTACACTAGCAATAGTATGAGAGATGATTACAATTAAAATCACAGTGGGTCTCAAAGAGTGGTCCTCAGAGTAGCAATGTCAACAACCCCTTAGTTATTTGTTATAAATACAAATTCTTGAGTCCCACTCAGATCTTAGTGAATCAGAAACTCTCGGTTGGTACTCTGCAAACAGTGTTTTAACAAGTCTTCCAGGTATTCTGATACACATTGAAGCTTGATAACTACCCCTATGGTAGCAAAGAAGATACGGACGTTACTTGTTACTTGGAGAAGTAACAAGGGTTTCACTGAGTTACCATTTAAACTACACCTGAAAGTTATTCTAAGATTAAGTGTGAGGGGACCTTAAAATTAAAGGTAGCAGCGTTTGTAAACAAAAGCTAGAATCATTGTGGGGAAAATAGGATAGTTTAGTCAGGCTCCCTTGACTCAGGTCCAGTTGGGGGTGGAGCAGCACATTTCTTTGTAAACAAGTTGTGTGTGGGTGGAGTTAGTGCCCATGTGCACCCGTGTATCTTTTTAGTTTGCTGCTATTGTGTGTTCTTCAGTTTGTAAAGCAGAGCAGGCTGAGTTCGCATCTAAAAATAGAGCATGTCTGCTGCTGGCAGCTGCTCAGTTTTTCAGTGGACTTTGCTGGTAGCAGTTGAGTTTCTGAGTTTCTCTGTGGACTGCTTAGCTCTTAGACATGTGTGCGCACTGAATAAAGACTATTCCTACTTCCACCAAGGCTCCAAGGCCCTTTTTGCCGGTTACCTAGCTCTAGCTCATAGATCTGCGTGTGAAGGGTTTGTGAACGGGCTGGAGGGGACTGTGAGCTCCAGACCCAGCCCTAGCTATACAGTCATGAAAATACCTATGATAAAATCAAATGAAATTATGTAAAAGTGTAAATCGTTAGCTGTTAACATAAAATCATGCCTTGCCAGGAAGGCACTGGGTCTTTAGGAATCCGAATACAACATCACAAACTTCTTTCTATTCGTTTACTTTTCAGTATGGAGTGAGAGCTTGGAGAGCAAGTGGAGCCTCCTTGACATACCGACCCATCTCTCCACAATTTCCCATCATCTCCAGACGCCCCAGGGAGAAACAGCTCCATAGAGCAGTTGCAATACACAAGCCTCAGCCCTTTCATGATGTCACGAAGCGCCGGGACTCGCCCACCCCTGGCGTTTCCACTTACAGCCCCTCCGGGGGCGGGGCGTGCGCAGGGCTGACGTCACTACCGAGCGCCGGGCGCGTTCCGTTGGCGGCGGATTCAAACGTTGGAACCGGCGTCTTGGGGCCTGAGGAAGCGTCCGAACGGTCTCGCAGCCCCAGTGGCTGTGAGCTTGTGTGCAGTGCGGGGAAGGTCTGGGAAGCTGGGGCGTGAGGGGGACGATGGCGCTCTCCAGCACGGTCTCTCGGAGGAGGCAGGGAAAGCGGAAGGCTCCCCGCGGCTTTCTAAAGCGCGTCTTCAAGCGACAGAAGCCTCACCTCCGCCTGGAGAAAAGTGGCGACTTACTGGTGAGATTTCCGTCCCTTCCCGGGCTGGGAGTGGGGCAGGGGGAGGTAATGGAAATGACAACCAGCTGTTGTTTCTCTGGCCCCGTCAGTCTATAGTTCTTTCAGGCCCATTTTTAAGGCATTTCCAGCAATAACTAGGTGGGTTTGCCCCGGCCTGGCCTATTTCTGCCGCCTACTTGTACTGGAGCCCGCAGAAATGTCGATATCTGTACCTTTTTAAAGGGAAGCTATTAGCCATATCAATTTAAGGGAAAAACTAACGTAAAGTTCCCGCTTATAGTTTTAAAATATCGCTCTTCAGGAGCACAGTCTGGCACTGAGATTAGTGTGGTGGTGAAGGGTATGAAAGATACACTCCTTTAAAATTGATTTTGGCATGCAGGCTGGGTCGTTTCCATTGTAAAAGGCATTGTCGACCTGCCTTTTAAGCGTCTCCCTTTTTGCCTTCTTCCTCTTTTTTACGTTATTAACCAAACACACTGCCCTGTTTCCTCGACATTAGGCTGCTTGCTAACGAACCCTGATCTGAAAGTTTGTCTATAAATAGAATGCTCTCAATTGTGAATTCATCTTTCTAGACAAATAATAGAACACCTACTCATTCAGTTTTTAAGCCAGACCACTAAAGCCTGTTTTTCTAACTCTTAATGCCTGAAAGCATAAAGCTCTCCTAATTAGTAGCCCCAACCAAACCACTGTATAACAATAATTTGTCTTGAAATAACTTCAGCGTTTGTGTGTTGAATGCCTGAGAACGCATATTCCTCTAGCAGAATGAACACTGTTTATCTAGGTTTAAACCATAGAAGCCACCTCCTGTGACTTGTCACAAGAGTTCTTTGAGCGTAGGAGCCATTATCAACGGACACCTACTTTTTTAGGAGATCAGGTAAATGTGGATAACAAGGGTATACTGCATGGATGGTCTTGGGAATGCATCATTGCAGCTGCTTAAACTAAACTGGGTTTTCTACCTCCTCTTTTCTCTGTAGCCTCTCTGCAATTTCTACTGCCTCCCCATCTATTGCCTCCTTTCAGAGTTTCTCTTTTTGCTAAACTACTATAGAATTGTCTCCACTTTTCCCTTATTTGGTCTCAGAAGCCAAAACACATATTTTCCCCTTGGAAAAGTACTACTTTTACTATCACTGCCCTCTTTGTTCTTTTCCTAGACACTGTAAGGAAAGGCAATATATGCTGTTTGGACCCCTACCCATGGTGGTGACATGAGTGAGCCACCTCATTAAAGTGAAATTCACTTGAAAAACGTTTTTAGGTAGTTTATTCTGGAATTTTCACTGGGGCTTCTAGATGGAGGGGGAGGAAATGTGCCTGATCAAGGATATCCAGGAGACTACCAGCTGGTGCAGATAGTTTGGCAGAAATTTCTCATGTAGTCAGCTTCCTCCCACATACATCCCTTTCTGCACCAAAGTAACCCATGGACAGGTGGTGTCCATGGTGGGGTTGGATCCAGGTGGGATGAAAAAGAAAAGGGGAATTGAAATTCCAAGAAGTTGCAGTGGAGGAGAAAAAGGAGTTCTTTTGGCCATCAGCTATTCCCAAGTAGTATGCTTGTCTACTTTGGCTTTCATTAAATAGTTCTTCTTCTTTGTCTTGTATGTGCTATGCATCACGCTGGTTACTTTGCTTATGATTTTCTGCTTGCCATTCACACTTCATAATCTTACCCAAGAGGTGTCTCACATCATCCGCGAAGTTTTCTACAATTAAGGCAGTCTGTTTTGGTCTCTTCTTTTCTTCTGGACTTGGACAGCAGTAGAAGTGTACATCATGCAGTTTAGCAATTGGGATTCTAACACTGTTCTTTAGGAGTTTCTTATGTTGATGTTTTCTCCCAGTGTGGTATGTAACCTCTTGAGGGTAAGGAACCATATGTCTTTTCTATTTCCCATTGTCTTTAACACAAAACTAATCTACTTTTGTGTTGCCTTTTGTGCATGATATTTCTTCTGCTTGAAGATGTCTTCATTGTCCTTCTTGGCAAATTATAATTCTTTCAAAATCCACTTCAGATGTCACTTGCAGTGAAGCCTTTCTTAGTCACCAAATAAAGGATCAATCTTATCTTCCTCTCTATCATCTGTTGTCACACATTTGTCTTTAGTTTCTTTACGGGTTTGATTTTCCCACTAGTCTGGGAACTTGAAATGTGAACTTTTTGTATTCCTAGTGTTAGCGTAATACCTTGAACATTCTGAGGCATTTCTTGCATTTTACTCAAAATTTTTTGGTATTATTTTGTAGTTCTTCTGAACTGGCTTTGTGGATTTTTTGTTTGGTTTTTTAATGCCTCGTTTGTGTAACACCAGGGCCAGTACTTGCGAGAGATTTAACATCTGTTAAATTTAAATAAATTGTTCAGTTTTCTTGTGATTCAGTTAGCTCTTATATTTATCACAAAGGAATGCTGTGCAAATATCTAGGTGCATATGGTTTATGTGAAATTCAAAAGTTCTAAGACAAAGGGAGGAGGAAGTCAGGTTGGCTCAGTTTATCTGTCAGTTGAGATGGTCAGGTAATGGATATTTCTTTGTAAATTATTTTTTTGATTTACCTTTCAAGCAAGCTGATTTATTTCCTTCTGGGTGGGTCCCATGATTATTCAGGCAATCACATGGCGAGGATGTCAAGAGATAGAGCTAAACTAAATTCTTAATAGGATAGCTTATCTTTTTCAAGTGTAAATGCCTAGCTAAATATCTTGAAAGTAGTTTCTGTTCTGACCATTTTAATTTAAGCCTTAGTGCATTTGAGTGGCACCACTCAATTAACTATTTTATGACATGGTGATATAGAGATATAGGTTGTTTAAAAATGTCTCTGACATCTAAAAAGAGAATACTGGTTTGTCTCAGTGTCCATGGCTCATTCCCATGAAGAGGAAAAAAGGACATACCATGTAGATTAATAGCATGAGCCAAGTCTCAAAACAGTGTGGTTTAATTGAGTTCGATTTAAAAAAAAAAATTTTTTTTTTTTTTTTTGCCTTGTTTGGGCAGGTATGAGGGATCTGTAGTTCATGCAGTAATAATTGCCTACTATGTATTGGGCAATGCGCTAAGGGTCACTAAGCATACAATGTTGAGAAAGGTAGACATAGTTCTTACAGTACACTGAGGAAGACAGTTAAGTGAAAAATGGCAGCATAATGTAGTATGTATGGTGACAGGAAGTTCATGGTGCTGTGGATCCATATAACCTTTCATACTGGGGGAAGTTGAGCTTTTCAGGGAAGTCTACAAACTGGTAGGATGCCTGGAAGCAAGGTTGTGTTTGAATTCTGAAAGCAGTTCAGATGTCCTAATGTAGAACTAGAAGCTGAGAAAGGTGAGAGATGAAACTGGAAAGGCCTAGTCAAGTGGGATTTAGTGTTAAAGAATTTGAAATTTTTCCTGAGTGTCTGGAAGCTATTTATCTTTAGAAGTAGAAAATGTAGATTAACAGAATTGTGTCATGTTATGGAATATTTTTGCTACCAAAGGAAATGAGATATCGGAAATTTTAAAAAATGGACATTTATCTCAGAGTTCTTGTGAGAATTAAAAAAAGGCAGTGCATCAAAAATATACCATAAGAATAGCCTTCCATAGATTCTTCATCTTACTAAATATAAATTCCCAAACCCTTCCCTATTTCTCCTCATATCACTAGAATACTCTTAAACATCTATTTAAGAATTCATTAAAGATTTCTGTGTAATATAAAGTATTTAAAACACCATGTTATCTGGTTATTTAACATTTAGTGAATCATGGTGGGAGTATTTGTGTGCAGTACACAAGATAGTAAATATTGAGTATCGTGTATGAATTGTTCTTCTAACAGCAAAGATTGTGTACTATGATGTAAATAACAAAGGAAATTAAAAGCACCGTCTAATTGGATCTAAGTTGGTAGTGCCCTCAGGCACCTGGCAGAAGTAAAGAATGGGAAATATGTGAGCAACAGTATAAATAATGGTGTACTACATATGATCCTAGAAGGAGGGTTAAGATAGGACTTCAGCTCACTTTACATTCTCTCTTTCTTGGACTATGTGTACCTTAACTATTTTCAAGGTATGTGCATAAAGATTGAATAGCTTTTTATTTTATTTTTTTTGGTTTGGACAGTGATTCTGAGTAAAATATTTGGCAAAATGTTATTGTGCATATTCAGATAGTGATATTATATATACGATATATTATCTGATGATGTGTAAGAGTGTTTCTCTTATATGTAGAGCTTGTTTCTGTAAGAATATGCAAGAAACTGGCAACCATGGTTGACTGTGGGTGATCTGGGAGAGGGACTTATTTTTGACAATCCATTCTTTTATAGACTTTTGCTTTATATTTTTATTTTGAAATAATTATAGACTCACAAGAAGGTGCAAGTAGAGTTCCTGTGTATCCTTTACCCAGCTTCCCACAATGCTATCATCTTACACAACTATAGTCCTAGATAGGCTTTTGCTTTTTGTGCTGTTTGCTTATATTATCTGTTTCAACTAATTTTTTAAAAAAGAGGCTTAAAGATTATTAATAGTAGATATGATTATTTTATGATAGTTGTTAGATGACAAGTAACTTGACCATTGTACATACATTTTTCTATTCAGCACTCTTTAAAAACTTCAGTTTTTAACCTTGTTTTGAATAGATGTTTCAAGTTAAAAACTCTGGCTAAAAAAATCTTCCTAGAACTGAGATTGTAGAATAAGAGATAGCCTAAAATATAGTTATTGACTTAAAATTTTCTGGAAATTTTAAATTATATTATAAATTTAAATTTATTTGGAATCAGTAGCAGGAATATTTGTTACTTTATAGAGTCCTAGGAAAGCTTTGATACATAGTGATTGTTTATAACAATGAAATTGTCTATGGCCTTTGGTCTATGGTACATAGCCTTGTTTCATGTATTGCAATGACTAAGTTTATTTTTATGGAATCTAAGAGGTACTTATATTAAACTGAATTCTGTATAACTTTAAATAGAAGAGTTAGTTAACTTAGTCATGGTAGTAAATAATACAACAATAAATTGTGCATTCTTTAATTTTTAAAAGTCATTATTTTAAAGCATCAATGTTTGAGTTTAAAAATACATTTGGGAAGATCTGGCCCGGTGGCGCACTCGGTAGACTGCGGCGCTTGGGAGCGCGGTGGCACTCCCGCCGAGGGTTCGGATCCCATATAGAGACCGGTCTGCTCACTGGTTGAGCACGGTGCGGGCACGACACCGAGGGTTGCGATCCCGTTACCAGTCACGAAAAAAGACAAAAAAAAAAAAAGGAAAAAAAAAAATACATTTGGGAAGCCTGCAGGCTCCCAAGCTGGGATGAGGTGGGGCTGAGGGCCTCAGCCATGCCTCCCACCCCGCTCTGCAACCAGGCTAGCAAAGGACCCGGCTGTGAGCCAGCCCTGCCCCTCCCAGTTCCACCTTTGTCTCCTCCCCCTCCCCCCCACTGCTCCACAACAACATCTTTGAATGTAAATAATAATAATAATAAATAAATTTTTAAAAAATCCATTTGAGCTTTCTCTTTTAAGGTCCATCTGAGCTGTTTACTGTTTGTTCATCGATTAGCAGAAGAGTCCAGGACAAATGCTTGTGAGAATAAGTGTGGAGTCATTAACAAGGAACATGTACTGGCTGCAGCAAAGGTAAAATTTAGACTTCTCCCCTATATGTATATTGTGGCTTTCTTATGGTAAGACTAATGGCCACTGCTTTGTTACCATTTAGGGGAAAATGAATGTTTGACTGCTAATATGTAGACTCAGAAGGTTTGTCATCTTGAAATTTATAAACCTTATTTTCTTCTTGATAATTTTAAATCATTCTATTTATCTAATTATTGGATTTTCTAACTTTGTTTTGAGATTTGAGTGAATTATGAGTGAAATCTCTTATATAAGCAGAGAAGATTGCTTTTTACTAGTATTTCTATATAATGTAAGAATATGATGCCTAGGGTAGAGTTTTCCAAATATGTCTCTGAAAGAGAACATTATTTCCAAAAGATGTTAATAGATGTTCCACCTGAAAAGCTTATGTGGTCAGATGAGTATAGATAACCAAACATATTATACCTCCTTTATTAGACGTAGTGTTACTGTTTATATGTAGAGCTTCTTTGTATAACAATATGTAGGAAACTGGCAACCATGGTTGACTAGGAATGATGGGGGAGAGAGACTTATTTTTTTTTTTCCCTTTTTGTCTTTTTTCGTGACTGGTAACAGGATCACAACCCTCGGTGTCGCGCCCATACCGCGACCGGCAACGGGATCGCAACCTTCGGTGTCGCGTCCGCACTGCGCTCAACCAGTGAGCTGACCGGTCTCTATATGGGATCCGAACCCTCGGGGGGAGTGCTGCACTCTACCGAGCGTGCCACCAGACCGGCCCCCCCTCAATTTCTAACTAAGTTCATATTGAGTGATCACACAGTTCATTGAACAGAACTTGATACTGCGACTGACCTTTTCTATCTGTCTTTCTAACTAGGTGGAGGATAGGACTTGATGTGGCATCTCACTTTAGTGGGAGTGCCACTATGGTGAAATTGCCCATGTCAGAACGAACGCTTACCCAACTGGGCCCGGAATATCCTTTTATATTACTGCCATAACATTTTTGCATTTGTTGATTCATTATGTTTTATAGCATACTTAAGCCTTTTTATTATGCTTGTGTCCTAAATTCCATCTTTCTATGCTCCTCAGCATTCAGGCTTATAAAAATGAACAGTTTCATCACCATCTTTTTAGAAATAAAATAATGATTACTTTTTTCTTCTTATATATTTTTATTGCAAAAATTTGGAAAAAAATTAAAATAGAAAGAAGAAAAAATAATTTATATATGAAACAACATTTTTTTGGAGGAAAAAGAAACTTTGTTCTTGACCAAAAAAAAGTAAATGCTCTTCATAGAAATTTCAGATAATACTGGTAATCAAAAAGAAGTACATAAAAATAATCTCCAACATAAATGTACAGATACCCACTGTCACATTACTGCATTTTTTGGTTCTTCTGGGGGGGGGGCTGTTTAGCCATATGGCTTAATTTCATGATTGGAATAATATAAGAAATATATTTTGTTTTTCTTTTATCCCATTTAATGCTTAGATATAAGCATTTCTTCATTTTTTAAATGGGCTTCTAGATCACACTTTTTACTAGTTGTACTATAGTCAAATAGATGGAAATAATGTATTTATAGAACCATTTCTTAAGTGACAGAGGCTTAGGTTATTTTTCTATTTTATTATAATACTGTAGTGAACATTCATGTAGTTCGAGCTCTTTCACCTGCCCGTAATCCTGCCAACTGGGCCAATTGTCGAGCTAAGGCTGCGTCTGGAGCTCACAGACCCCCTCAAGCCCATTTACAGACTGGGTCACAAACGCTTCACATGCCAGGCTGGTTCACCAGACCTCTTACGTGCAGGAATATAAGCTAGGTAACGAGCAAACAGGTCCCTGGAAGCTGTAGGTTGGAGAGCATGGCTAGGCGCACGGAAGCCTGAGGCAGACGCCAGTCAGCTTGTGGCACCGCACTTGAGCACTAACTCCATCCACACACACACACACACACACACACACACACACACAACTTGCCCACAAAGAATGTGCCGCTCCACCCCCAACCATCCATAAGGTGAGGGGGCCTGATTAAATTATTCTATTTTCCTAACAATGTACATAAATATTTATTTCTCTGATTTTTTTAGGCCAAATTTCTTGAAGTGGTGAAACAGGTCCCTGTAAGAGTTTCTGTACAGACTTTTTCCTTGTGCCTATACATAGCCTCCCTTAACTTAAGGATTAAAAGCAAAAAAGTTGTCCGCTTCTCTTTCCCCTGCTTTCCTAATTGACCCTAAGAACAAAGCATTCCACTTAGAAACTAGGGCTGAGTTCTCCCTGCCTTTCACAGAGCCTGTTTCCTTTCTGCTTTCCATGCTTGCTTAATCCACCTTTGTGAACAAAGTCTTCTAATCATTAATCTATAACCTATACCCTTGGTCAAAGCATGAACATTTGTTAAGAGTCAGACGCTTTACGTTCCACTAATAAATGACTAAAATTGGTGTTTTTCAGTTTCTTCCAGGCCAGAATCAGAAACTCAGCAGACCACCAGTCACAGATTCCATGGCTTCAAAGACCCTGTCCATCATGAGCCCTGACATCTGATTCAACACAACTGTGGATCCTGAGACCACCCTCCCCCCACCGCCTGCCCCCTTGCTGCTTCCCCACATGCACCCACATTCCTTCTTTCCCCTTGAAAGCCCCAAACTCTGGTCAGTTGGGGAGGCAGCTCAAGGCTTGTCCTACCTACTCCTGGCTGATGTCAACCGTAATAAAAAAGGCACCTTTCTGGCTGTTTTTGTTAATGTGAATGTTTGATATTTTTCTTTTATGTGCCGAGCAACTGAACTCAGCATTAACTAATGCTGTTCTGCAACGGTGGTATGGTTTAAAAAAGAGAATTTTAGCTCTTAATATATTTTTGAATATATTATCAGATTGTCTTCCAAAATGTTTATACTTACCCACAGCTCACCCACAGCTTCTGTTTATTCTTACTCTCTGCAACACTATTATAAGTCTTTTTAACACATGATGTTGATTGGTAAATAATGATGTATTTTTATTTTCATTTGCATTTTGTGATTACAAATGAAACTAATATCTTTCCATGTCTTCATCCTGTTGTATAACTTCTGCGAATTGCCAGTTATTTACTTACATTTCATATTGAACATGCTCATCTTTCACAGTGATTTTTAAAGTTTTGTTTGTTTGTTTTTTACATGTTAAGGGTATTAACCCTTTGTCATATGCATTGTAAATATTTTCCCTTCTTGTCTAGTTTACATGTTTTTAGCAGTAGACTGGTGTGGTGGTAGTAACCTCCTTATCAGGGAAATTAGACAAAGTCAGAAGATTGGTCTGGGAGGAACTGATTGAGCTGGGGTTATGAATGGTGGTCTTCAGAATGGATTAGAATGAGGGTGATCACCCTTTTGTAAAATGAAATTATAATTTTGGTATAGCCTTTACTATTTTTAACTTTCAAAACAACCTTTAAACTGCTATCACTATTCTCAAATCACTCAAATCACTACTGCAGTAGCAAAGGCAGGATTATAAAACAGGCTTGTCCAACACCAGTCTATTCTTAATGACTATACCACAATAGCTGTAAAGGTTACAGAAGTGTTTTTTCACCCCTATTGTATTCGTCCATTTCTGTTGCTTATAATGAAATACACAGAACTGGGTATCTTATAAAGAAATTTATTGCTTACAGTTTCAGAGGCTGGAAGTTCAAAGTCCAGGGAGCACACCTGGTGAGGGCTTTCTTTCATGGTGATTTCAGGGATGGCAGAGAGAGTAGAGACAGAGGTAGCTCTTCAGGTACTCTCCTCAGAACCACACCCATGACCACCATCATTAATCCATACACTTTGGTATGGTCCTACAATCCAATCACTTCTTCCCAAGGCCCCACCTCTTAATTACCATAATATTTCCCACCCTCTTAACAGTTACAGTGGGGGCCAAGTTTCTTATTTTTTTTTTATTATTTTTATTTTGTCAATATACAATGTAGTTGATTATTATGTCCCATCACCGAAACCTCCCTCCCTCCTCCCTCTACCCCCTCCCACCCAAGTGTGTCCCCTCCATTTGCTTGTTGTAAGAACTTCAAAAAAAAAATAATAATAATTGTGGGGGCCAAGTTTCTAATACATAAAACTTGGAGGACACAATTCAAGCTTCAGTGAGTTTTGGAGAAACAATTCAATCCACAACACCTATGCTTTTTCAATGTGTTTTTAAATGCCTTCCTAATATTCCATAGAGTGGATGTTCCGTAAACTCACCACGATTGAGTTTATTTCTCAACTGCATAAATGAGGACGCAAAGGGACAAAAAAGATAAATATCTTGTCCAAGATTATCCAGCCAGTAAAACTAATGTAGGAAATAGGAGAAGGTGGAGAATAATTAGATCTTTCAGCCTTTTTATTTTAGATTTCTTCCTTTGCTTTTCATGCCTAAAAATTCCTTTTTTGCCTAGAGATGAAAAAGATATTCAATTATGGTTTCTCCTTACTGTTTCTGGTCCTTGTTTGTATACTTTAACTCAGGACAATCTGTAATATATTTTGGTGAGAGAAACGGATTAAAGGTTTTTTCCAAAGGGAAGAACTTAATGAAATGATTAAAAAGTTTATCTGGAAGAATAAATAGATGATAATAGTTAAGCAATATCTGAAAAGAACACTTGGAATGGGTAACTTTTACCACCAGAAATTTAAAATGATAACTATTCAATAATCAAATCGGTATGCACTGTTTTAAGGGGAGAAAAAGAACGATTCTTTTCAGTATAAAGGAACAATTAAAATGATGTGAAAATCTGCTTTTCTCAAAGATCACAGTAGTTTATTGGTACTTGATTTGATGTTTTTCGGATAAAGATAATATCAAAATAACAGTTGAAAGTTTGCTGCAGTCTTTATTTTGAATATCAATTTTAATATACAGTTCTCCCAAGGTTAAGAGTGTAGGATATCGAAGTTTTGTTTCAGGACTCACTGATTGGCAGTAGATATATTCCAAGTCCTCTTTGTTAGGTATGATTTGTCTTTTCTCCATAAAAGTGAAAAACAATAAGGAAAAATACTTTAGAAATTCTTGTTTGGAGAACATCTGAATAATACTCAATTTTTCTTTGTCAGACTTTGGTTGCTCAAAACTTCTCTGTTCATGAACACCACCTCTATGATAATGCAGTTAAGTGGATAGATGAAAGTTGTTACACTGATTTTACTCACTGCTTACTGCTAGTTCACTGGCTGATTTGTAATGGTGTTACAAAATAATAATTTAAGAAAGACTAACACCCAAAATAAAAATCCAAGCCTAAATGTCTCATAACAAGGCTGGCCCTTCATGAATTGTGAGGGTGAAATAATCCTTTTAACATGGTGCAATTGTGATCACTATAAACAGGTGTCATTGCAGACCTTGGCTGTAGAGGCACTTGTGCTGATGAGCACACACTAAATGGGCTGTGTTTACATGGGTGAGGCACTTTCTTCATGCTTCACCCCTGCCTCCTTGCAATGTGCATCTGAAGGCAGGATGCTGTCTTCCTTCTTGATCCAACCATCTTTCCACTTTTGAACTGCAATAGGTCTGGGTTATCATGATTTCTATCTTCAGATTTGAATAAGCAGGAACTTTTTCCCAGAATTAGGAGAATATCAAAAGAGGCCTCCAGGTGGAAAGCATTTGGCCTTGACATCATGTAGAAAAGAAAAAGGAGAACAATAATCCTAGAATTGAAGTGCTCTTAAAATACTCCTCAAGGATCTTTTCTCAACCTTCTACTATTCAATCAAAAACCTATAAGCATATATGTGGTTTCTAGGATGAGAAACTTAATACTAGAGATGGAAAACTATAGTCTGACTATGAGCTCCAGTGGGTAGGGGGCTTATTTGCTAAACCTTTTTTCCTAAATGACATTTACAGAAGTAGGGAAAATGGAACATCCCCTTTAGGCAGGCATTTAAAAACACTGAAGGAACATAGGAATGAAAAAAACATTCTAAGAAAAACAAGTTTGCGTCTGGTTGGTTAGCTCACTCATAACTTACATGGTTAGAGTGTGGTGCTGGGTGCCAATAACACCAACATCAAGGGTTCAGATCCCCATGCCAGAAAAAAAAAAAAAAAGCTAGTTTGGCAAAATACCAACTTTCCTATAGCAATCAATCAATTCTATTTTCCTATTTCTATTTGCCCCATATTCTTAAATAACATCTGATTTTTAAACTCTCCTAGGGATAATCTGGATTAAGCAGGTTTCATTGTCTCTGTTGAAAACTGAATATTATTTAAATGGAGAATCATGCCTTATTTGTAGTACTCAAATGGTTTAAGTTAAGGCATTTTTTTCCTCCTGGATGATGGGTATTAATATAAGAAAGTCTGTCACTCTGGTGTTCAAAGTTTATAGAGAAACTCAAACTTTCAAGTGCTAGTTCATGAAAGACATCTGTTTATTTTTCATCTTTGCATTTTCTATGGTACTTTTTAGCATACAGTTTTACCCATATCATTTTTTTTTTTTGTCTTTTTCCGTGTCCGGCAATGGATCGCAACCCTCAGTGTCGCCCCCGTACCGGACCGGGACCGGCAACGGGATCGCAACCCTCGGTGTTGCTCCTGCGCCTCGCTCAGCCAGTGAGCGGGAACCAGTCTGTATGTGGGATCCGAACCCTCGGCGGGAGCTCTGCCGCGCTTCCCAAGTGGCGCACTATCGCAGTGCGCCACCGGGCCGGCCCCCCCATATCATTTTTAAATAGTAAAAATATAAACACTTATTGAGCTAAGGAGTCTAGCAAGGGTAAATATTTAATTTTGAGACTAGGAGGCTAAAAAATAATCATGTTACAAACCTTAATGATTATTTTTTCCTTACTTTGGCAATTGCCCATATCTCAGTTGAAGCATATACATTTACTTCTTAGCCCTATATTAAAGAAGATTATAGAAAAATCCCTCACCCCCCTCAAATGTCTTCATATTCTCTTCCACTAAGCATGTATACAGCCTTTATAGAAAGTCCATATTTCTTTTTACCTTATAATATATGTCCTTCTGCAATGTGAGAAGAAAACCTTAAGATTATAGGCTCACCTAAGAAAAATGATTTATTATTTCAGCAAATATTTCTGATGCATAACTTACTTTGATGTACTTCCCTGGCTACCAGTCTCTGTTGTATAGTATAAATGAGTATTTTCTAATCACTTTTCAGGTGGAATAACAAAACGTATGTACCTACAATACTTTCCCTAAGGCAAAGTCTGTGGTTGTCTCTGTATGCCACAGTAGGCGAGTTTTCTGTAAAGGCATGTGCATTTGTCAGGATTTTTGCCAAAGTTAGTTTCTACACGTCTTTCAGCATTTGTCATGCCTAATGAAAGCTTGTATATACACAAGTGGATGTGTCAGGACCATTTGGCAATTATTTTATTAAAAATGTTGCTGTACCACTTTTCAAAAAAAGAGTAAGGCATAAATAATTAATGCATATCTCTTTCCAGTCACAATAAAGAGATATCTTAAACTATTTTAAAATCAAGGTAAATAAGTAAATTAATAAA